GATTCCTTTAAATCCAAAGAAATTATAGTGTCATTATATACAAGTGTTGGATAAAAGCATTTAATCAATCAGTACTGACGTCAAAACAATTTGAGTATGATGAAACAGTTTATCAATTTTACTTTAATTTTTACCGTGTCATCATATAACTATCACCAATATGTAAAAATTATTTATAAAATAAGAAATCCTTTTAAATGTGTATTGGTATTTTGTAAATTTTAATATTTTGCCTTTTTTGACAGTACGCCACTGCCGTTGTGTCTCATTGTTTACATTTGTCACTATCTATCTTTATTTATTGGGTAGTTCTCTGTTTAGATGTTTGCTACAGTTAAAACACTAAGAATAAGAATACTCAAAGCTCCTTCTAGTGGTTAGAATTCGTTAGTTAAATCCCTCCAGGATTGCGGTGAAACTATCACGAGGTGCGTTTGAACGTCAACTCTGATACTTTGCAGTTCATTAACCAAGACGGATTCATGACCAGTACTCAGTCTAACTTTAAGCTTTGAAGCTACTTGAATTGTCTAAAGCCTCTTGCATACTTTAAAGTTATATATTTATAATAAATTATTTTCAATAATCAAATTTTCATAATTCAAAATCTTTGTGAGCGTATTGTTCAAGGATCATTAAACTCATCATCTCTAAATAGCCCAAAAGATCTACACTAGAACCGTTTTAAAATTGCCATTGAATCGTGAATTCATTATTTGTTAAACGCAGAAAGAGATACAATGACGGTATAAAAAACGTCTTCATAGTCTCAATATATCACAGACAATCGTTCCAATATTTTATGTGTATGTGTAGTAAAAGAAAATTGCGGACGTTTGTTAGGTATTAGTTTTACATTGAAGTTTGACTACCGCAGTAAAAACAAAACGGAGCTGACACTCAGATTAAAAATTTTACAGTTGTTTTGATCGCATCTCCGTACTAACTATTTTCTGACTGTTGAAATATCGATTTTTTGGCATATTTTCGTAACCAGTAATACCAGTATTAAAATTTGGCAGATATGCAGATTTTTGAACTGTCAAGATGACATTTGGGTTATATAATAGTATATTAAACAACAAGGTTTGAAAACGACTCTTTGCACACGAGCGAGACATAGACCAGGCAATAAAGAACGATTTACTCCAAAATATCTAAATTTTTGCGGCCCGGTCCGATTTTAATGCGGTTTTTTGCCTTTTGTTCAGAAAGACCGTCGGAAAAAAGTCCCGCCTTTTTTATTATCCGGAAGTGGCGGAAATGCATCGCGGGTGCATAAAGTGCATCTAGAAGTGCATCGCATCCGAGAAACTTGGCAAAGTGCACGAAATACCGCAAAAATTGGTACTCGGGGATTTTGGGGGGCGCAGAATTCGAATATGCATATCCAGTCCACCCGACCCCCCGGGGGGCGACTTCCGGCCGCCTGGGGGGGCGCGGGGGGCACGTGGATTGCAAGGTTCTCCGAATGACTGGAAAAATGGATCTCGGGAGTTTTCGCGGGTGCTGCTTCCGAATTCGAAACTGAAAAATATCTCCTGTGCTCGTGGAGGGGGCGGTAGGTGGGGGTATGGAATCTAAAGTTCTCGAAATGACTGGGAAAATGTATCTCGGGGGTTTTCGCGGGTGCTGATTCCGAATCTGAGGGTGAAAAATATCCCCTGTGCTCGTGGAGGAAGAGGAAGAGGAGGAAGATAATTTTGATTGGTATTTATAGTTGTTTATTATAGTTGTTTGATAAATGAGCCCGTGTGACAATTAATACAGAAGGAATGTGCATTGAATATATTTTAAGACAATATATATTTTAAAACAATAAATATACTTTTATACTTTAGAACAATAAATATATTTAAAAAAAATACCAGGCTTATCCTTTCTTTTTCCAACAGAACTTTTTAGATTGAATTTCGTCCCACGATTTTCTATTAATTTATATTCATCCTTCTTAGAAGATTAACGCCCTTCCCCAAAATAATCGGAAATAGTCATCGGACGCATTTGGCAGGGTCAGATTCGGAATCAGCACCCGCGAAAACAACCGAGATCCATTTTTCCAGTCATTCGGAGAACCTTGCAATCCACGTGCCCGCCGCGCCCCCCAGGCGGCCGGAAGTCGCCCCCCGGATATATGCATATTCAAATTCTGCGCCCCCCAAAACCCCCGAGTACCATTTTTTGCGGTATTTCGTGCACTTTGGCAAGTTTCTCGGATGCGATGCATTTCCGCCACTTCCGGATAATAAAAAAGACTTTTTTTCGACGGTCTTTCTGAACAAAATGCAAAAAAACGCATTAAAATCGGACCGGGCCGCGAAAATTTAGATATTTTTCTCTTTATTGCCTGGTCCAATATTGGTGGATCGATCCGAAGGCGAGGTACACAAGTCGAACGAGTGTGCAGAGGTTTTCAATCGAGTTTTTTACGATACTTTTTATACGACTGCAGAGACCACAAAAATCAAATTTTAAATTAAATCGTTTTCAATCGAGTTTTTTACGATACTTTTTATACGACTGCAAACAGAGACCACAAAAATCAAATTTTAATTTAAATCGTTGTTATTACTAAAATTGCCAACGCATTAACAAAATAAATTAAATACAACTTTTAATTTAACTCGTTTTTATTAAGAAAATTGCTAACGCATCAACAAAAGAAACTAATATTTAATATTTATGGTAACATTTGAACATTCCTTCAAGGTTACGCTGGGAAAAGCAGTATTATTGTGTACCTTGTTTTCGGTGATAGAGAATATTTTTGGTGTCGTGTTTTTAGTGCAGCTTTTCAGCGTGGGGTCGTTGTTTTCTTGTTGTATTCCAGTAGACGATCGTTGGTCTAGTTCTGTGGCAGCAGAAGACACTGAAGACTCTATCTTTTTCGAAACTTCCATTTTATTTCTCAAACAGTCATCAACGTAGCTTTCGGCAACTGAACTGGATTTCCACCCTCCATGGCGTTTGAGGGCAAGCAGATTTGAGCCAGAATTGACTAAAATTGTGGCCGATGAACGCCGAAAACAATGTCCCGTGTAACTTTCTGGATTCTCTAGCATCAAAAACTTGGCGATTTCCCTAGCCATGTTTCCAATTTTGTTGATGCCAACGTTTTGGCTTGAACATTTTCCGTTTTGATAGTTTAAAAAAAACCTGCCTATCTTCAGATTAGGAGGACGAAGAGCACAGTACTTTTTTAAGATAGTGTAAAGGTTTCCTGTAATTGTAAAACACCTTGGTACCTTTGTTTTTGTATTCTTCAGTTTAATCAGCATAGCACTGCCGAAATCTTTGGTGTCTTCTATTTTGAGATAACATAATTCCTCCCTTCGACATGCCCCAGATAGTCCAACCGCCTTGATAAGTAAATATTTGTCGTCTGATGCTTTCGTCAAAAACCGGCAAAAATCATCTTCCTGTGAGGATTTGAGACTTCTTTGGGATAGCGCTTGCTTCCAAGATCTATGTTGTGATTGGCACTTAACGTTGACTTGAGCATCGAAAAAATCGTCCACAACGTCGAAGATTTATATTTCTTAGATAGTTCTTCAAAATACACCATTACTGCGTTTTCTGAGAATGTTTGGACATTTTTGGCTAGTCACCAGTCCATAAATCGGCTTAACTCAGCTTCATACCTGCTTCTGGATTTTGTGGGCAGCCGTTCCGAACATATTTCCCTTGCTTTCTTGAAATCAGAATCACACATTTTCACACCCAAACTTCGGGAATTCAACAATTTTTGAAGTATCTAATCAACAAAATAAAGGAGCCGTGGCGGTTGCTATAAAACTCAGCCAACTTGAAACATTGCATAATTTGGATGACAACATCAAACAAAAATCACAATCTGGACACGCTTGCGCAAAGATGACATAACCGTGTGCAAAATGTTTAGCACACGGCGTGTGCAAAATACCGTTTTCAGAGCGTGTTTTCCGTGCGCAAAACCCCGTTCTGCAAGGCAGTCGTATAAAAAAACAGTAACTAATTTGATTAGGATTTTTCGTTTTAGTTCATACGAATATTGCCTGTGACTCAATGGAAAAGATACAGCGGATTAGTGTAGATATTCCAAGGAGACCTACGGAAGTGTTTAGTCACGGAAACTCATATAAAAATGCCAAGGCAAGGCAAAGTCTAAAAGACAGAAGTATAGTAAGTACTATTTAAATTTCAAATGACTCTATAGCTTTCTCTACCACCTAAGTTCTTATCCTTGGAAGTTTTAATTGTTTGTTTCTCTCAAAACAACAAAGACCACCAATCAATTCAGTAGGTACTATGAAATATCTCTACAGCAACAGACATGTTGCGTTATAGTTTCAGCCATGTTTGAATGTACCATTTTCTAAGACTTGTGTATTCTTTGAATTTTTCCATAAAATGTACAATACACATAATCATCTCTAGAGATCAAAGCCAATTAAAGAATTTTCCAATATTAATGTAATAATAATAAAGTGTACTGTACAGCATCGCAAGAAATGTATAGCCTGATTAATTGATTGAAAGAAAAAGTATTACTTTAAAACTTAAAAACAAAAATTCTTTTTAATATTCTTTCTGAAAACAATAAAATTTAAATATAAACGTATAATAGTAGATATTCATTAATACACACAATTATAAAATGATGAAAGTAGTTTCACTTAAATATGTTCAGAGAGAGAGAGATTCTACGCAATGTATTCGTGTACTAACATGGATATTATCTATCTGTTGCTCATTCATACCACCTTCAAGATCTAGCCGTTCCCTTTACAGGCGGAGCTTTACTGACTTGCAAGGGAGCGACATTACCATATTACTGTCATTAAATAACGAATTGATATTTCGATTCTGTAATAATACCGTAATTACAGTCAATGTAAAAAGAAAAATCAACTGGTCTTCCCGCACGACAACTTTTCCATCAATATAGACCGTTGCCAGGGAAACGTAAACAATGCAAACATCAAATTGTAACTTGTGGCAGCTAGTATTCGCCAGCCTTATGGTATAATCGGATGGAGAAATGGTTTAACGGAAGCAAACTGTGGTTACTCGGAAACCAGCTTCAACTACTTCCTAAGCGGTATGTAATTTGGCAATTTTCTAAAGCTTTCTAGTGGTGCAAACTATTTTTTCACAGTCGCTATGCTCTAAAGTCGCGTTGCTGATAATTTATTAAGAGAATGTTGACATTCACATTATTGTATGAGATTTAGAAACAAATACGGCATGTTAGTATGTATATGTCTTACGTGTTTTCACGAGCAAAACGTTTGTTATATAAGTGGAAATCCAATATATTCGTTTCGTGACGATTGTAGTTACGCTGGAAATTCTGATTGCCTCCCTGTGCCAAGCCTGACATCCGTAGTATTTTATAATATATAACTGTAGAAAAATTAATTCTGGGGACCTGCTATTAAAAAACCCTTTGTCATGATAGGGATTCATAAATTTCGTATCGTTCTACGGATTAAGATTGTAGGAAACACGACAAATTAACATAATTTCCGTATAGTTTAGCTGGTATGATCAACAATATCAAACATTTTCAAGAATATTCGACGAGGCATAAAACAATTTGTTGAAACTGATGCTGAAAATAAATATCGCTGCAATTTAAATTAATATCTACTTTAAGATCAACTAAATATCAAAAGTATAAATAAATCAAATCCGATTAAAACAGTTAACCTGATATAAGTACATATTTGCACCTATTACATTCAATTTGCTATTTATTTATATAGATTATTAAATATTGTTTAATTTTGTACAGGGTGTTACACGACGTTGGGACAAACTTTTAGGATCGATCTATCTCGTTAGACAAAAAAAAAATAAGAGTAAAATTTTTCTAACGTGTCTGTTCAAAGATGGGAAAATATACTCAGATTTTAAACAATAACTCCATTGAAGAACATAAACTTAAATTTATTACCTGTAAATCTGGTTTAGTATCTATTTACTTACAGAAATGTAAAATTTGTATGTAAGTTAACTAATGTCGCAATAAAAGGAGATCTGAGGGTTCGAATACCGAAAAACTTAACTAAAAGGTTCGGTCAGACCATATCCATAGTTGAAAATCCATGGAAATCAATACATTCGCGCTTATTTGAATGAACGTTAGCCAGATGGATAATGGATTCACTATTTTTATAATTACACACCTATAAGCATTGAAAAATTAGACCAAAATAATTAGTTTTCTTTCTACAGTGAGCTGCTGACGATGCATGATTGCGAATAATGCATTCTGTGGTAAAAACCTCAAGAGGTATAAAAATTTCGTTTGATGATGACACAAATGACATAATGAAAGAACACTTTCTTTAACGTCAAACATCTTTTTTGTAAATGTAAATAAGTAGCTGCTATGAGGAATGTACAGGTCTATATTTGCGATAGTGTTGGAGCAACTTATCAAAAAATTGTATTCTACGTTATCTTTGAACAATAGTAGAACCCATTTCTTTTTGTTGTTTTTATTATACTTCTTTTTGTTATTTTGTATGCTGGATTAGTGAAGGAATATTACATTCTGAAACCATTCGCTATCTATTTCACTTACATTTATTGCATGGATCTAGGGTTCATACTTCTGTATTTCCAATTTTGTTTATTGTATAATTTTACAAATTACAATTATTCTTTATTACTGAGTATTTTCCAAATCAATAATTTGACTAAAACTTAATGTAATGACGTTTATGCAAAATTAGATAATTATTATTTGTTTGTTCGAAATATAAGATTTTTCCATATTCAAAATATAAAGATAAAGCTCTGTAAGCATAATAGTAAGGATATAATGCGTGAAAAATGACTGGTAAGAGTTAATGCTAGACCTCACTGATGATTAATACGAAACCCATAATTTTATATTAACTATGTTTGTTTTGGATTCCGTCATATTCAAGGTGTTTTCTAAATTAAATTTCTTTACATATTGATCTTACTAACGATATTATAGAAGACACTTGCTTATAAAATTCTTGTTACTTGACATGGTTGTCATTTAATTTGACGGGCAGTGATGAAGTGGACATAGAACTAGTTTCCATAAACGGTTTTTTTTTTTCAATAGGAAATGTCCTGTAGCTCTGCGTGTCCATATCCGAAGGTTTTGAAGGGTGAATAGTAATTATGCGGAAATCCATAGGTACATTACCCCTTGCAAGGTTTTATTTTTAGATTGGTTGTGCGATTTGCGACTTGCTAGAGAAAACTACCAAAGTTTAGTAACAATTTTTAACATTCAGTTGCTATTGTTACAAGCATTTCAGAAATAGATACATGTATTTTCTGGTTTCAAATTGCAAAAAATTAAAATAAAACTTTTAGAGAATAATAAATTTTTCATTTACTTTGGGTAAATTTGTACCGTGTTCTTACTCAAAATATTAAGAATTTTCTACGAATTTTCTTCAAGAAAATACAGTGTGATCGTAAATTGTCTTGCCTTCTTATATTTTCAGGGCGTATAGTAAATTAAAAAATTGGGATACCTTTTATGTAATTTTTTTCCGAAAATTGATTTAAGGGAAACAGTAGGTACTCATCCTTCTGCGATATCTTAAAAGTTCTTCAAGATATTTCGAAATAACTCTGAAAAACTGACCCCCCTCTTTAATTATATCCTGTATAATTCCATGACACTTGTTCTTTACCCGAACATAGAGTAAATGGTGAAAATTATGGATCAAGTAGCTAAATCCTTTATAAAAATTATAAATTATGGCTTTTAATGTACTGCAACTTTCAAAAGATATATTAAACATTTATTCAGAAAGAACTTTCTACTGTTTAGCATTTCAATTATAATAATGTTAATATATGTCAGCACCAGCATATACATATTTATCTTCTGTTTGTTGCTAGTGTTTTCTGTTTTTGATCAATGATGATAAATAAATAATTATAGAGAAGGTACATGGGATTTACTATATATATTGTCGGAAGTGTTAAGAAAATAAAAGAAGTATTTAATTTGACGCGAGACTAGACAAGCTAATATGATCCTGATTACAAAATATATGAGCAAATGATTGAAGTAATTCATAACTACAGGTTTACAACTCAAAAGCTGTTCAAAAGTGCTCATGCATTATTAAACAAATATGTATGAAACATTTTGGAAAATTGTTTAATTGTAATATTAAGTTATCTGAAAATAACTAAAGTATAAATTTTTTGGATTATGTCTATAATTCTAATAATGTCTTTTAAACAACCAATTTTTCTTATTTACCTTATCTATACACCCCTAATAGTGGCAGAGGAAAATAATATATTAGTAGGCAGTTACATACAAATTAAATAATCAATAAACTGAACATTTCCATGATATTATTGACTATCAACATACGTTCGCTCATAGATATGTAAGTGCCACTTAAATTTCCGTGTGGTATTCTGAAACTAATGCTTTCAATATCTTCATACAGAAAAATTGTATTTGATGATTGGAAAAAAAGAAGACTATTTGACTTTTTTACGTAACTTACAGTTTGGATGAATTAAAGTTTCGATAACAATGCACGTTTATTGTTCATTAATTTCAAATCGTAATTTCCAAACCATCGAAATGAGCGGCTAGACAGCCATAAAATATTTTTGTTATGCATTAAAGAAATGAAATAAATGAAAAGTTAAATTTTAAATGCACAATGAATTTTGAAAATAAAAAATTATGCAAAATTGAAAAATAAACTTTCCTTTGTTCCAATAAAAATATAGTTATTACTAATATATATATATATACAGCAGGGCCTCGATGATCCGAACACCGAAAATTTATACCCTGTTCGGATTCACGAAGCGTTCGGATTATAGTATGTAGACATTTTGAAAGGGGTTTTTCGAAATAAAACAAAAATATTTTACATTATAATGTATTTATTTAAGTATGTACGTTAGATGTATGATAGATAAAATGCTATTAATCACACTTTTTTAAAGAATTCTTAATATAGTGCTTTGACGAGTAGTATTTAGCGACATAGAAAATGCTTTATCCCTTAATTTACGTAACAGCATTTTTTCCGGAATAGAAATGTCGACTTCATCTGCCTATTCCAAACAAAAAACGCACTGCGTGGCACTGGCGAGACAGAAACTATGAGAAACGGTGGTTGCGCAGGGGTAAGGGGGGTCGTTCGGATTATAGAGGCGTTCGGACTAGCTGGGGTACGGATTATCAAGGCCCTGCTGTATATATATTATTATTTATTAGATTAGATTATTTTCTATTATTATCATAAAAAAACTTCGGAAAAGTTAAGGGGGAGCACGTTGGCTAAAAAGGGAATATTCATACTTTGGAGGAAATCTATTGCACTTTTCTTATTTTTATATATCTATCTAAATAGCTATCATCCCTATATGAAGTCCTACAAGATTTAAGACCAATAAAATATCGTCCTGGCCCTCTGTTCATCCCTGGGATACACTGCAATCCATGTGAATGCGAAATGGATTATTTAGCCTAAAAAATCAGCCATCGCCCATCATGGGTTAGATGAAAGATAACGACACATTTCGAAGACATCGAGTTACTCTTGAGAACAACAGGATTTACAAGCTGGTCACACGAGAAGCATTGGAAATCAAACAACATCTAAATAATTTGAATGTGAATCAGACTTACAATGAGTAGAACTGAAAGCGGAAGCAACGGTACTTGCGATACTGCAGATGAACGTGACACCACACGTACCACGGTCCGTAAAGAGACGGTCGCCGCATAAGTCAATCAGCCAATAAAAAACAAATACATCACGAAATACCTCAGTTTATCTTCGTTCAACCGTCATCTCCATAAGTTCTGTCTATTACTCGACCGTCTTTTTTACGGACCGTGCACACGTACCACCCTACTGCGCAGACGTGAAGTCACATGCATAGATTCAGAAATAGACAGAATAGACTCTTTTAGTGTGACGTCACATATTTAGGCAACCCGCAATACAGACCGAATCTGACCCTTAGGTACCATTTACATAGATACTATAGAAATGAACAACTTCAAATTAATTTATTTTTACTAGGATTTAGAAGTACCTGTTTAAGAACAACCAA